CTGAATTTTTGACGTTGATAAGTAATAGACCCTGGAAATGGAACAGTCTGATACGTTTTTATTTGACTTAATTGGGTTACTCGATCATCAAGGTAAATTTTTTTTCGAAGGTTATTCGACTCGTAGTTACGTTCGAACGGGTGGACGAGTCAATTTGATTCTTCTTTTTCAAAATGAAGGACGTGACTCGCCGGCCTCTCAAATCGTTTCAAGGCTATGCTGGATGCAAATAAAAAAAAAGAATGGTTGCTCGAAAGAATCGGATACTTTGTATAATTTTTTTAAACAAAAATCAACCTGAAATAATTCTCATTCTGTGACATTTTTGGTGTCATAAAAATTGTAATGTTTATTTTCTATCTATTAATTAAATTGATCTACGCGCTGTATTTATTTATCCTTTGAAAACTTTCCTTCCTATCGAAAGGTTTCACTAATTGTAATTTCCTCATGTAATTTATTTCCCATTAAATCGAAAAGCGGACACGGCGGTTATTCTTGTGGTTACTTCACAAGAGTTAGCTCGACAATCCTATGACTGCAGTAGGTGCAGTGAAAAGAGAACTGCTTATGTTCGGCCAGATGGAACGATCGTGTAATGCCGGTAGTGGAATAGGAATTATTATTATGACTCTGTTGATCTAACATCTTATAAAGAAAAAAATGGGGGAGGATATTACTCGTGCTAATGTCATTAGAAATCATTATTTCATACATTTTATACGTAAGACGTTGAATAGTAAAATTCTGCATTAATTGAGAATTAGAAATAAGAAGTTAATTCAATAATTTCAAAATAATTTCAGTTTTTAAGTATTAAATGTAAAAATATATATAATATATTCAACGGTCTAACAATCATTGAATGGTCAATAATAAGTTTTTTCGCAATCTCACGACTTGATTCAATCGGTTTCGATTATATAATAAATAATCCCTTTAATTATTATTATCAATAGCTAAAAATGTCTGCGATCTTCCTAATGAGGAAGATGTTCAAGGCTTTAGTTTCCATCACGAAATTGTTGAAACCAATATTGATCAGTATATCCGCTAATTGTTTCTGCCAAAAGTATGATATATAATTTCGTACAGTTTCTTTTACTTTACATCCTAATTTAAATTTTTACAGTCAAATCATACAAATTTACTTTTCTTCCATGATTAATTGAAGATCCTAAATTTGACATTACCAAATATTAAAAACAAAAATGAGTAGTGCCAATTTTATTTTTTACAATGATATATCACATAACGATAACTAGATGTTTATCTAGATCATTAAAACAAACTGGTATGAAATTAAATATAATAGAAATCGCAATTATTGTTGTACCTGGTTATTGAACATTTTCTCTTAATAGCTTAATTGGTAAGGCATTGAACTAAACTAAATAATTATAATAATTCGATGAATATAAAAATTCGACAAATATAGGTCGCGCTGATTCAAGTCCGGATTAAAAGAATTTTCTCAAATGAAATGCATAAGTATATAATTAGCTAGATTTATTTAAATTGCAGCGTAATGATGATGACTCAGGATTGAAGTAAATTTATAAAGCTCAAGCCTTCCCTAGCTCCATTGGTAGAGTCTAGTTGGAAATCAATAATACGATATATAAACTTCCAAAGGATACTTTTTCTTATTTCAATGATGAAAATATATATTTTATTTTATTTCAGAGCAATGTTAATTTATATAAAGTATAGGTATATGAATAAAATTAATCTTTAGTAGTTTAATTTAGGTAAAATAAAATATTCTGTCCAACTCATTTCAATTCCTTCGATAGCTCAGTTGGTAGAGCGGTGGACTGTAGTAGGGTTGCATTGAAAGCAGATATCCATAGGTCGCTGGTTCAAATCCGGCTCGAAGGAAATTTTTTTCTTCATTTCAACACATGTACGAGAAGAATATTATCTCAATATTTTTTCTTTTGTAATATAGTTACTGTAGTAAATATATGATCAATTATGTTGCCAAAATATATACCTTCGATAGCTCAGTTGGTAGAGCGGTGGACTGTAGTTGGTTATATTCGATATTGGACATCCATAGGTCGCTGGTTCAAATCCGGCTCGAAGGAGACAATTTTTTTTTCTTCCCTTTTTTTTTTTATTTGGGAGTTTTTTTTTTCATTAAAATAAAAATATACATTTTTTAATCTTTTTTAATATAAAATATTCACAGGACTCGTACAATTATGTAAAAATATTAAAATTATGACAGTGATTAATTTCAATTTTATAAATCTTATTAATGACATTATACGTTTAAAGAAAAATATTTTCGTCGATCAATAAGAGATCGTTCGAGAAATAAACAATTATAAATATTGTTTATTAATATAATTTGATACAAAATGATTAATAAAATGAAAAAGAAAAAATATAAACGGCTATTATACAAGTCTAAATTCAGTCACCCACTGACCTAGTAGAATATCAATTTCACTGGCATACATTTTGAGTGGAACACAACGAACATCGATGTTGTATCTTAGATGCATACATAATCGTTGCAAATCATTTGACTCGATATCTCGATGATCGTATACGCCATTTAAATTCGTGAATAATTGTTGGACAAATTTTGATAATGAAAAAGTACTGTAAGAATTTAGTTAGAAATGAGTAATGATAAAAATGAAATAATGAGAATCAATAAACGATGGTGCATGGGAGCAGATTATCGCACGTGATCTCTTTGGCATCTTGAGTGCCTTCGAACGCGCCTTTCGAGGTATAACCGAGAACGGCCTTGCCGCTGTACCGGGATAGTCAGCTTTCTCTACTTTCGCTTGCGCGAGATTTTCAGGTCCAAACGTTGCCATTGCTCTGACTACGTATGAGAACTTCGTTAACTTGCTATTTTTCATTCTCGTAGTTGACACGAATGATAACTAAGAACATCGAGTTATACATTCTTTATATTTTGGAGAAAATTATTTAAACGATATAATTAATATTACAATTATTGACAAACTCATGTGATTGTTTAATGAATTAGACATACCATATATTTAAGGATTCAAATGAAAAGGAAGATGACTGACGACTACTGGTTGTACTCGACCGAGATGCTAACGATAAACCAAGTTGCAAAATCTATATGTCGACTGATGAAAAGGAATTTCATCGTGGGTATGATGTCGCATTTGTATGAGATATGAAAAATTATCGATCTGCGATGGTCACGTAAGTGACTAAGTAAGTAAGTGCGTGCGAGCGGAAGAACGCTCCTTCGTAGTAGAGAGAAACTTTCTATTACGAGAGTGTCGCGGGATGGTAATCATCATCGAGAAGATGATCGTATAGGTTTATTACATATCTCTTGTCGTTTATTATACATATAGTATATTCGAAAGGTATTAGATAGGTAATTCTCTCGCTTTCTCTCTTTCTCTCTCTCTCTTTCTCTCTTCCTCTCGTATTAGTGATCAAAAGAATTACGAAGGTAAGTATAGAATCATACAAAATAAGGTTGATCGTGTGCGACGAGTTGAGAAAAATGTTGGACGTTAAAAGACACCTTATTTGTGTTCTGTATGTGGAAATGGCGCTTAAAGGATTGAAAGAGGAAAGGCTGCATTGGAATGCAATCGTCGTTGGTGAGACTTCAGCAGTGTCGGCTGTTTGGTATTTCACGAGGTTACTGATATTTTTTTTTTTTTCATCCCACCTTCATCCGCACTGTCATCTCCCTCTCACTCTCTCTTTCTTTTTAGTCTTATATCTTTTCTCTATATGAAAAGTAATGGAATTCCATACGGATGAAACTGTGATTATCTTTTCTGTAAATAGCTAATATAAGGAATTTTACAATGACAACTAGACGATGTCGTTAATATCTTTTGATTGATTATCAAGATCTTCATTTATTAACCATAACTTGACAACTTTCAAGACTGAAATAACAAGTATCGTAGTACTTTACGAACTATAATGACAAGTGTTTGCATGCTAGGAACTCACGAATACTTATCTCTGTGGAATGCATAATGTAAGCATTCATGGTACCCCGGATCTTAAGCGAGTTCAAGCGAACGTTGTACCTTTACCTCTCTGGTTTCATAACACGATATATTCATTTAAAAAAAAAATTCTAATTAAAATTAGCTATTTCATTAGACGATTATTTTAGAATATAATAAGATATATCGTAGGTAGTTATCTACGCGTAAATAAAGAAGATGTATAATCTTCGTCTCAATGATCAAACATAAAATTTCTAAATCGGAGAAACAATCTGTTGGATTCTATTCATTATAGGAATCCTATTAATCTCGATTTCATCGTGGGTGAATTCAAAGGAAAGAATTGTCGTTTCGTAATTATCTTCAATGGTGAAAAGATGTTTATAGAGATTTGTTTTTTTTTTTAGTTATTAGCTGTTATCGCGCGTGATTTTCCATTTCTTATAAGTCACCCTAGTTAAAGAATGGCCTTGATCTTAATATAATTTATTATTTGACGAGAAGGATAAAATTAAGGCCGAGGTTGATTGACGACCACACCCATTACCCACGTGTTTCTGGTCTAAGAATTAAAGGAAAAAGGGTTAAGACGGTAATTAGAATTGTTCAAATTTATCGGGATCTTTTATTAAAGGTTTATTCTTTTTTGTAAACGATGTGTTGGTACTATCACTTATTTCTTTAAAAATATACATACGCAATAATATTTAATATTTATATATATAT